TCTTTACTGGATTATTTGTTTTTTGGGTGTTGAGTTTGATAAGTTCTTTGTAGATTTTGGATACTAACCCTTTATCTGATATGTCATTTGCAAATATCTTCCCCCATTCTGTCGGTTGCCTTTTAGTTTTGCTGATTGTTTCCTTCGCTGTGCAGAATCTTTGTATTTAATGATGTCCCAGTAGTTCATTTTTGCTTTTGTTTCCCTTGCCTCCAGAGACATGGTGAGTAAGAATTTGCTGCGGTGAAGATCAAAGAGGTTTTTGCCTGCTTTCTCCTAGAGGATTTTGGAGGCTTCCTGTCTTATATTTAGGTCTTTCATCCACTTTGAGTTTATTTTTGTGTATGATGTAAGAAAGCGGTCCAGGTTTATTCTTCTGCATGTCGTTGTCCAGTTTTCCCAGCACCACTTGCTGAAGAGACTGTCTTTATTCCATTGGATATTCTTTCCTGCTTTGTTGAAGATTAGTTGGCCATACGTTTGTGGGTCCATTTCTGAGTTCTCTATTCTGTTCCATTGATCTGAGTGTCAGTACCATACTGTCTTGATGATTACAACTTTCTGGTATAGCTTGAAGTCCAGGATTGTGATGCCTCCTGCTTTGGTTTTCTTTTTCAAGATTGCTTTGGCTATTTGGGGTCTTTTTCTGGTTCCATATAAATTTTAGGATTATTTGTTCTAGATCTGTGAAGAATGCTGGTGTTATTTTGATAGGGATTGCATTGAATATGTAGATTGCTTTGGGTAGTATCGACATTTTAACAATATTTGTTCTTCCTATCCAGGAGCATGGAATCTTTTTCCATTTTTTTGTGTCTTCTTCAATTTTTTTCACAAGCTTTCTACAGTTTTGAGGGTATACATTTTTCACCTCTTTGATTAGATTTATTCCTGGTATTTTATGGGTTTTGGTGCAATGTTAATGAGATCGATTCCTTGATTTCTCTTTCTGTTGCTTCATTGTTGGTGTATAGGAATGCAACCGATTTCTGTGTGTTGATTTTATATCCTGCAACCTTGCTGAATTCATGAATCAATTCTAGCAGTTTTTTCGTGGAATCTTTTGGGTTTTCCATTTAGAGTATCATGTCATCTGCAAAGAGTGAAAGTTTGACCTCCTCCTGGCCAATTTGGATGCCTTTTATTTCTTTGTGTTGTCTGATTGCTGAGGTTAAGACTTCCAATACTATGTTGAATAACAGTGGCGAGAGTGGACATCCCTGTCTTGTTCCTGACCTTAGGGGGAAAGCTCTCAGTTTTTCCCCATTGAGGATGGTATTAGCATTGGGGCATTCATATATGGCTTTTATGATCTCGAGGTATGCTCCTTCTATCCCTACTTTCTTGAGGCTTTTTATCAAGAAAGGATGCTGTATTTTGTCAAATGCTTTCTCTGCATCTATTGAGAGGATCATAGGATTCTTGTCCTTTCTTGTATTGATGTGATGAATCACGTTAATTGTTTTGCAGATATTGAACCAGCCCTGCATCCCAGGTATAAATCCCGCTTGGTCGTGGTGAATAATTTTTTTTAATGTATTGTTGGATCCGGTTGGCTAATATCTTGTTGAGGATTTTTGCATCTGTGTTCATCAGGGAAATTAGACTATAGTTCTCCTTTTTAGTGGGGTCTCTATCTGGTTTTGGAATCAAGGTAATGCTGGCTTCATTGAAAGAGTTTGGAAGTTTTCCCTCCATTTCTATTTTTTGGAACAGCTTCAAGAGAATAGGTGTTAACTCTTCCTTAAATGTTTGGTAGAATACCTCTGGAAAGCCATCTGGCCCTGCACTCTTGTTTTTTGGCAGATTTTGGTTACTAATTCGATTTCCTTACTGGTTATGGGTCTGTTCAAATTTTCTATTTCTTCCTGTTTCAGTTTTGTTAGTGTATATGTTTCTAGAAATTTGTCCATTTCTTCCAGATTGCCCATTTTATTGGCATATAATTGCTCGTAATATTCTCTTATTATTGTTTTTATTTCTGCTGTGTTTGTTGTGATCTCTCCTCTTTCATTCTTGATTTTGTGTATTTGGGTCCTTTCCTTTTTCTTTTTGATCAAACTGGCTAGTGGTTTATCAATTTTGTTAATTCTTTCAAAGAACCAGCTTCTGGTTTCATTGATCTGTTCTACTGTTTTTTTGTTTGTTTGTTTCAATAGCATTAATTTCTGCTCTAATCTTTACTATTTCCTGTCTTCTGCTGGTTTTGGGTTTTATTTGCTATTCTTTTTCCAGCTCCTTAAGGCGTAAGGTTAGTTTGTGTATCTGAGATCTTTCTTCCTTCTTTCGGAAGGCCTGGATTGCTATATACTTTCCTCTTATGATTTCCTTTGCTATGTCCCAGAGGTTTTGGGTTGTGGTGTTATCATTTTCATTGACTTCCATATACTTTTTAATTTCCTCTTTAACTTCTTGATTAGCCCATTTATTCTTTAGTAGGATGTACTTCAGTCTCCAAGTATTTGTTACCTTTCCAAATTTTTTCTTGTGGTTGATTTCGAGTTTCATAGCGTTGTGGTCTGAAAATATGCACAGTGTGATCTCAATCTTTTTGTACTTACTTAGGGCTGATTTGTGTCCCAGTATATGGTTTATTCTGGAGAACATTCCATGTACACTGGAGAAGAATGTATATTCTGCTGCTTTAGGATGAAATGTTCTGAATATATCTGTTAAGTCCAACTGGTCCAGTGTGTCATTCAAAGCCATTGTTTTCTTGTTGATTTTTTGATTAGATGATCTGTGCATTGCTGTGAGTGGGGTTTTGAAGTCTCCTACTATTATGGTATTACTATTGATGACTTTCTTATGTTTCTGATTAATTGATTTATATATTTGGGTGCTCCACATTTGGTGCATAAATGTTTACAATTGTTAGGTTTTTTGGGTGGATAGACCCCTTGATTATGATATAATGCCCTTCTGCATCTCTTGATACAGTCTTTATTTTAAAGTCTAGATCATCTGATGTAAGTATGGCTACTCCGGCTTTCTTTTGTTGACCATTAGCATGATAGATGGTTCTCCATGCGTTTATTTTCTTTTTAAAAAAAATTTTTTTTAACGTTTATTTATTTTTTTGGGACAGAGAGAGACAGAGCATGAACGGGGGAGGGGCAGAGAGAGGGAGACACAGAATCCGAAACAGGCTCCAGGCTCTGAGACATCAGCCCAGAGCCCGACGCGGGGCTCGAACTCACGGACCGCGAGATCGTGACCTGGCTGAAGTCGGACGCTTAACCGACTGCGCCACCCAGGCGCCCCTCCATGCGTTTATTTTCAATCTGAAGGTGGTCAGGTCTAAAGTGGGTCTCTTGTAAACACCCTATGTCTTTTGATTGGAGCATTGAGTCCATTAATGTTTAGAGTGAGTACTGAAAGATATGAATTTATTGCCATTATGATGCTTGTAGAGTTGGAGTTTCTGGTGGTGTTCTCTGGTCCTTTCTAATCTTTGTTGTTTTTGTTATATATATATATTTTTTTTTTTCTTTTTTTCTCCCCTCAGAGATTACCCCTTAAAATTTCTTGCAGGGCAGGTTTAGTGGTCACAAACTCCTTTAATTTTTGTTTGTCTGGGAAACTTTTAATCTTCCCCGCTATTTTGAATTACAGCCTTGCTGGATAAAGAACTCTTGGCTGCATATTTTTCTGATTCAGCACATTAAATATATCCTGCCACTCCTTTCTGGCCTTCCAGGTTTCTGTGGATAGGTCTACTGCAAACCTGATCTGTCTTACCTTGTAGTTTAGGGACTTTTTTCCCTTTCTGCTTTCATGATTCTCTCCTTGCCTGAGTATTTTGTGAATTTGACTATGATATGCCTTGTTGATGGCTGGTTTTTGTTGAATCTAATGGGGGTTCTCTGTGGGGGTCCAAAATTCCTGGATTTTGGATGTCTGTGTCTTTCCCCAGGTTAGGAAAGTTTTCTGCTATGATTTGCTCACATAACCCTTCTACCCCTATTTCTCTCTCTTCCTCTTCTGGGACCCCTATGATTCTGATGTTGTTCCTTTTTAATGAGTCAGTGATTCCTCTAATTCTTAAATCGTGGTCTCCCTTCATCTCCCTCTTTTTTTCTGCTTCATTATTCTCTATAAGTTTGTCCTTTATATCACTGATTCTCTGTTCTGCCTCACCCATCCTTGCTGCTGCTGCATCCATCCGTGATTGCAGCTCCGTTGTAGCATTTTTAATTTCATTCTATTTTTTACCTCTTTTATCTCTGCAGAAAGGAATTCTAATCTATTTTCAACTCCAGCTAGTATTCTTATTATCGTGATTCTAAATTCTGGTTCAGACATTTTGCTTGTGTCTGTGTTGGTTAAACCCCTGGCTGTCGTTTCTTTGTGCTATTTCTTTTGGGGTGAATTCCTTCGTTTTGTCATTTTGAAGGGAGAAAAGGAATTAATGAGGTAGAAAAATTGAAATTAAAACAATATTAAAATTAAAAAATTAAACACAAACACACACACACAAAATCTAATAAATGATGCTAGATCCTAGGTGTGTTTTGGTCTGGGTGTTGAAAGTGGTTTGACAGATTAGAGAAAAAAGAGGGGGGGGAGGAAATCATTTGAAAATTTGAAAAAATGAATACACTGAAGTAGACTAAAATGAGATGATGGGAGTAAAATAGAGTTTGAAAAAATTTACACAAAAGTAAAGAATATAGTAGGAAAAAAAGAAAGACATTTTTAATAAAAATTAAAAATAAAAATGAATTTTTTTCTCTTTCTCTATTCAAGAAAAAGAAAAGAAACAAAAAAGAGAAAAAAGAAAAAAATTAGTCGTTGGAAAATTTGAAAAAGTGAATACATTCTAGTAGACTAAAATAAAATGATGGAAGTAAAATAGAATTTGAAAAAATTTACATGAAAGCAAGAAATATAGTAAAAAAAATTAAAGAAAAATATTTTTAATAGAAATTGAAACTAAAAATGAAGTTTTTCACTTTCTGTGTTCAAGAAAAAGAAAAGAAACAAAAAAGAAAAAAAAGAAAATAAGGAAATTATTTGAAAATTTGAAAAGGTGAATACACTGAAGTAGACTAAAATAGAATGATGAAGTGACAATTTGAAAAAATTTAAACAAAAATAAAAAGTATAGTAAAAAAATTAAAGAAAAAATATTTTTAATAAAAATTGAAAATAAAGATGAATTTTTCTTTCTGTATTCAAGAAAAAAAATAGTGTGAAAGAAAAAAAAAGAAAGAAAGAAAATTGAATAGCTGGACCTGCTAACAAATTGAAATGTGACTGAAATTACTTCGTTTTCCCCTAGAAGTCAGACTGTGTAGCGCTTTATAGTCCATAAATTAAGCAGGCAGTGAGACTTGTGTTCTTGAAGAGGGAGGTTGGCCCAGTTGGGCAGGGCTCAGTGTAACGGCTCCTTTCTCCACTGGACGGCGCTGCTAGCCTACTGGCGTGGATTGTTGCGGAGCTGGTAGGTGCGTATGCGCATGCGTGGGAGTGGTAAAAATGGCTTCACCCATCTACACAGTCTGTTCTCCTGGATCAGCAATCGCGCACCCGTCCTCTGTCTTCAGCTTTCGTCCACTCCCTGTTTCCTCACTGTCCGTGACCAAGCCCCAGGCAGTACCTCTCTCCCGAGTTTTGTCTCAGATGTGGCTGTTTTCCCCTGCCCCTTACTTCTGAAGGACTGCGGCTTTGACCTGTTCCCGCCCCTCTGCAGGAGGGCTCACTGAGCAATGGCCGAATGTACCCAGGAATTCCCGCTGGAACCTGCTGCTGCCGGTGCCCCGAGACTGCTGCCAGGTGCCAGCCCGCCCCAGCAAAAGTTCGCGAGACAGTGTAGCAGCAGTGTTTCAGGGATTATGGGCACCAGGCTTCACCCTCAACGACCTTGTTCCAGCACCAGCGAATGTGGCCGCCTTATGGGGTCTGCTGCGACCAGGGGGCCTCAACACTCTCTGCCTTCCAGCAATGGAACTGCTTTTCCCGGTGTGGCCTGAGAACCTCCCGGACCCCACTCTGTTCCTGGGGATTCGCCCTTCCCACCAGAGCACTGCCAGGTATGAGCTGCGGAGTTGCAGCCTTTGCGCTCCCCTGGTTTACAGTCTTAATGGAATTTAAACCCTCTCCTTTCTCCTTTCTCCCTTTTTAGTTTAGTCCCTGCGGCTGTTTCCAATTTTCCACTTTCTCTCCAGCTGCTTTTGGGGAGGGGTGCTTTTCCCGTATTCTTCCCTGTCCCAGTCTCCGTTTTCTCTCTGCCTGCAAAGGCGGCTTCCTGCCTGCCGCGGCTTCTCTCTCCCCCAGTTCACCTCTCTGCACCACGTACCTGCTGAATTCTGTGGTCCAGGTTGTGCAGATTGTTTTGTTAATCCTCCAATCAGTTTTCTAGGTGTGTAGGATGGTTTAGTGTTGGTCTGGCTGTATCTCATGGACACGAGACACATAAAAAACTTCCATGCTGTTCTGCCATCTTGGCTCCTGGCCACAACTTTCTTAAATGCTACTGCAGTCTGAGCTCTTCCCACCCAGTCCTTCCCTGTCTCCTTTTACGGGGGTCAACCCTGCCTCGTGGTGTGAAGTTTTCCTGCCTACTCCTGTTCCTTCCCCTTTATCCTTCACAGCCATTTCCCTTAAAGCATTTCTTGCCATATAATCCCTATTTGATGTCTACCTCTTGGGTGGGTGGGGAGACAGTGGGTGGGTGAGAACCAAAGTAAATACAGACACTGCCCTGATTTTAGTATTCATTATTGTTTATGTCTGTCTGTCTTTTATATTTTATATTATATATTCGTATACTTTTTATATTTTTTCAAAATTTTTAATGTTTATTTGTTTTTGAGAGAGAGAGGGAGAGAGAGAGAGAGAAAGTGTGAGTGAGGGAGAGGCAGAGGGAGAGGGAGACCCAGAATCCGAAGCAGGCTCCAGGCTCTGAGTTGTCAGGACAAAATCTGACGCGGTGCTCAAACTCATGAACTGGAGATCTGACCGAAGTCAGACGCTTAACCAACTGAGCCACCCCGGTGCTCCTTTTTGTTTTTTAAACTTTATGCATTGTTTTTTTGTAATTTGCCCTTTTTGCACAGTGATATTTGTTTAGAATTTATCTATGTTGACATATGTCACTCACAGTTAATTTTTACTGCTATATTAATACCCTATATAAGTATACTATAATTCAATCATCCATTCTCCTGTTAATGCACAACTATGTTTTTCCAACTTTTGGTTGTTGTAAGTTGCAGTGAACACTATTTTCTGTGTCTCCATTATACATTCCTGTAAGAGTTTCTTTGGGATATACAGGAGTTAAATGCTGAGTCATAGTGTATGCACATCTTTAACTTGACAACATATTGTCAAATTCTCTCTAAAGTGGTGGTTCCAAATTTTCACTACATTCCTCTCATCTCTTGATAATGTCAGATTTTTGGTTTTTGCTAATATGATGGGTGAAAAGTTATCTTAGTATGGTTTTAATATGCATTTCCCTGATTACTAATGAGGGAGAGTATTTCATTATATGTTTACTGGCTTTTTGGGTGTCGTCTTCTTTGAAATACCTATTTAAAGCTTTTCTCCATTTTTTTTTTTTACTATGTTGGTTTTCTTATTACATTGATATTCTTAATGTATTCAGTATATTATTGTATTCATTGCAAATGTATTGTTCTAGGCTGTGACATGTCTTTTCTCTTTGTTTATGGAATCTCTTGGATAATACAAGTTTAAAACTTTAAAGTAGACAAGCATTTCAATCTTTTCCTTTATGGTTCTCTCTCTCTCTCTCTCACTCCCCCCCCCCACACTCCCACCCCCTCCACACACACCTCTTTCCTTCTGTCTGTCTCCCTCTGTCCTGTTTCTTTCTTTTGATGTGCTTAGTTTCAGAAATTTTACTGTATCTTAAGATCATAATTATATTCTCATAATTTATTCTAAAAGAGTTAAAGTTCGTCTTTCATATTTAGGATTTCAGTGCATCTGTAATTGATTTTTGTGTATAGTTAGGTAATAATCCAATTCATTTAGTCTCTTTTCTACACAGCATTTGGAGTGATTTGCTTTTTTAAACAGAGCTACAAATAGTGATTCTCCTGCTCAAAACTTTTTGATGACTTCCTATTGCACTTTGAACACACCCCAGTGTCTTACTTTGTCCTATAAGGTCTCACATGGACTGACCCTTGCTGACTTTCTGACCTCTTCTTCTGTCACCCTTTATTTATTCTAGTCAAACCTTACTGGTCTATTAGCTATTCTTCATACATACCAAAGTCATGTCTACCTCAGAGCTTTTGTAGTACTATTTCGTCTGCATGGAATGGTCTTTTTCCTCTGGATATTTGCATGAATCTCTTCTTCAGTTAATTTAGACCCCTACTCAGGTATTAATTTATCAGAGAGGACTTCCCTGACCACTCTATATAAATTTCTATCCCCTCCCTACTTCCTCTTACCTTGTTTCATTTTGATTTTTCTTCATAGTACTTCCAACTCTCTGACCTATATCTTGTCTAGTTATTTATTGTTTTCTCAATCAAAATATTAACTCCTTGAGGGAGGAGTTAATATTTTGGGAAGGTGCTTTCTATATCTATACTGATGCATTGCTAGTACCAAGGGAAGTACCTGGAACATAGTAGGGGCTCAGCAAATGTTTGCTGAATGAATGAATGAATGAATGAGTGAATGATGTCTCTTAGGACTTACAAAAATATCTACAATTTATTTCTTCGGATTTGCTTGCTTTTTGGCTCTCTGTTACAATTTGAGTAATTTCGTTTCCTGTATAAATTCATAGCAAAATTCCCACCTGTTTTAGTAAACACACATTTTTCCTTTAGTCATGGTTAGATGATAACTATTATCTCTCTATTCGCAGCAAGTTTTATCTTGAAGTTCAATCTGTGGCATTGCATCACAATCCCTTTAATTGAACATTTTATTTTATATTAAAGCACTTGGGCTAGAAAAAAATAAAAGTTTACTCAATGGTCAAATTTGGTGGTACACATGAGTTGGCTATCTAGAATGTGAGCTAAAGGAAAATATTCTCAGTGGTGAAGTCCCATTTCTGAGAGTGTTAAGACCATACAACTGAAAAATGAATGCTTTATAAGCCAAAACCACACTGCAGGTAAGCAGTGAGAGCATATTCAGTTTTGGCTTTAATTTAGTTGTCTGAGGCCAATGATCTTGGTTGATAGAAGGGAAATCTCCAGGTGGTCCCTTTGATTTATAGAATTCATGCCCTCAGCATTGGCTGTCTTTGTAATCATTTTGTAGTTGGCCTGCAGATTTACTCTCACTATGACTGAAATGTGCAAAGAAAATGTAATTTGGTTCCTAAACACTTTACTTCCTAAAACAGATCGAATCATCATCATGAGCCCTACAGTGTTGCAGAGAAAGTCTTCAACTTGCCATAAATGATTTCTCAGTGTTTCATTGGATGTTGTGTATAGAGTAGTGGCCCTGTGTCTGGAGCATGAATTATTTTAATTATGGATTTAAAAAAATATTTGCTATTCATTTCTATAAATGATTGAAAAGGCTATTGCTCGTAGATAAATGTTCAGATTTCTTCCCTCTGAGCGGATGTCTCTACCGTGGTTTTGCCTGTTAAATTTTTGTGTTGCTTCCTGGGTCCCTGCTCACCTGTGCTGTAACGGTGTCTCTTGTTTATCTGGCCACTGTGTCCACCTGGAGCATCTGCTGTTGGTCTCTTCCCTCACTCAGCGGCCCCTCCCTGTTGAACAGTCCCATCAACCTCTCTGGTGGTGATGTCATTTGTTCTTGGTATAACAACTCTAGGAAATTTCCTGGTCTCATTCTCAAATGCTTTGCTCAGTAACCTAGACATATGCAGGGACATCTGAGTCTTTTCCACACTATGTGGAAGCCAAGCACAGCTCAAGGGCATTAACTCACACTTCAAGGTTAACTATGCTGTACAACCACTGCAGTCTATTGGGGCTGCCTCCTGAAGGGTGGGGAGGGCATCTGAAGATGCAGTTTCTTTTCTAAAGTGACAAATGTAGATGGGAAAAATAATCTCTGTGCTTTTGGTTTTCCTTTTCGGGATCGTTCTGGGTTGCTGACTCAGGCTGGAGGAAAGTTGAGGAACTTCTGACATATATATGACTGTTTCTCTCATTCTCCATCTCTTTCTTCCCCTTTCCACACTCCACTTGGGCTTCTTTTCCTCTTCCTCTCTGACTTTCCTATATCATAGCCTCTGCTTCCTTTAGGTGGGATTGCCCTCCATTTGCCTTTGGGACACAGTGTTAGATAGAAATCCGAAAGAAAAGTCAGATTTCTGATTATAGAAGATCCAAAAATCTTATTATGTTACATTTGAAAGCAATAGTATTACAAATATTTCATTATATTTTATTAAAATACCATGCTAAGTGTCTTGAGGATTTAGAGTCCACTCTATATGAAGTGGGGCTAATAAGATTGCATCAAAGGGCTGTGGTGAGAATGCAAATAAAAAGAACAGTGGACAGAGCCTAGGAGAAGACCTGGCTCATAGACATTGGTTCAGAACTGGCTCCCTGCTTCCCTTTCCCTAGGAGAGTAATGGAATGTCTCCCCCTGCCCCCCCCCCCGGCCCAGCCCCCTCCCAAAGCATGACCTGGTTTAATTATAGATGTTTTAAAAATGTTTGTTATTAATTCCTTTCTATAAATGATTAAAAAGGCTGCCTCTCTTCTCTGTGCACTTAGTTAAAAGCTTTTCATCCTTAATGTAGACTCCTACAGAAGAAAATGTTTGAAAGAGCAATCGTGTGCAGAAGTTGCCAGGAAGCTATTACTGGTTAAGTAAAGTGATACACAGTGTTATTAAGATCCACAGGTTTATGACCATCATCTCATCAAATCGCCACAATTCTTTATCAGCTAGGAAGAAAACGACTTCTTTTCAATATAGAAAAGGCTGAGGATGAAGTTACATGTCTTTCTCCAAATCAAGGCAATTGAATATTAGAACAGAATGTGTCTTCATTGATTTATAATCTGGTGTTCTTTGCTTCCACAATCTCTTGTACTTT